CAAACAAGCACGAGTTGACCTTCCGTGAAAGTCGGTGGTATACGGTGTCTAGCACGGAGGACTCGGCGTAGTCGAGTTCGGCTGTCCATATGCGTCCATCCTTTCATAGCGGCTCGGCGTAGCTCTTCCGCTCGGTGGAAATCCTGTGCCGGATCGGTAGGCATGCATTCGGGATCTTTGGAATCATCGGAGAGCAGCGTTGCTGGTAGACGTCGTGCAAGACCGAAAACCCGCTGCATAGGTGGAAAAACACTCCGATTCCGGCGGCGGGTCCGAGCAGAGCAACGCACCCCCCCGATAGTATGGCATTCGGCTGGAGTGTTCGGAGCGACCCGGTGAACGGCTAAACGGAGCTGTCGTTTCCATTATTTTCCAATACGTTCCGATCGACCGTTTTGCCGTGGTGAACGGGCATCAGTAGGAAAAAGGCACGCGCCGCTGTTGCGTATGTTATCGGCAAACGTCCCCTGTAACTCCGTTCCAGGATCAGCTACGACGACATCTGGCATGTCAAGCACTCGTGCCCACGCATGCACAAATGCCTGCCGCGCTGCATCTGCTGACTTGCCCGTCTCCGCATGCGCAACTAACTGAAGAGAGATGCCCCAACATATGATGTTGATCCAAAAATGCGGCGCAACATCGAGTGGGCACTTGACCTCGGCCAAATCAATACCAACAACATGGCTGAAGCGATAAAATTTAGGACAAGCAGCAGGGCGGCGAGCACAAGATCGCTCGTGCACATCGCACTCGTCGCACATCATGTTTTGTCAGTATCCAGAGTGCTACCTCAGGCTTTGCATTTCCCCGTCTCAGAACTCGAGCGAAGTCTCGATCCCCAGGGTGAGCAGAGCTGTCATGACCAAGGTTGTGGTCGGCCAGCTGATCGGCAATATGTGCCCAGTCCGGCTGAGCAGGTACTTCATCATCGCTATCTGGTTCGGCCTTGGGAACTGCAAGTGCCTGCTTGATCTGTTTAACTTGTTGGTGGGGAATCGTTCCAACGCCGTCATCATCGAGCTCCGAAGATGAAGCGTAGGCCCCATTGGTGGTCCGCCACTAAATCAGTCACCATGATCCTCTGCTCGCCTCGGCCGCTTCGACAGAATGCTGTGGAGCGGTTGGCTGCCAGGGGCCGCCTGGAATATCTCGAAGCACGGCCATGCATTTACCCATTACTGGACCAGCCAGGCTAACATTGGCAACACCTGGAGAAATTGATTGCCCGACCTGACTGAGACAAGTACTCTGAGGAGAGATGCTCGCCAGCAGCGGCCCAGCGATCATCATGTTGGTGGCAGCGTTGCGACGCAGGGGCATGCGGCCAGTCCATTGCCTGTTCGAAATACGGACAAAAAGCGGCTTAGACCACGCATCCGGAATAAATTCGGCAACGCCATCTGGGTGGACAACCTCCGCCATCCGCTCGTCAATAAAATCAGCTGCAGATGGGGGGCCCGCGGAATCGGTGGGATAAGAGAGAGCGTCGCGGGGTTCCTGGTGTACTCGGACATGTGCCCTGCGACCATTGAAGACATCCTCTGCCCGCGAACCCATCGGGCGTCGCGCTCCTCCACGACCGCCTCGAAGCCGCCCCCGCCCACGTCCTCGCGCATCTCGCTCCCGGCCGCGCGCGTGGCCAGAGGTCGGAAATGATGATGCGATACTGGGTCGCCCGACTCGTGAGTCCTGATGCGCCGCTCGCAGCGCTGGAAGTCCATCTCGTAGATCTCCTTGAAGGTGTAGCCCGCAAACCTCCCGCACGTCGCTCGATCCACGTGGTCTGGGGCGCCAGTGTCCATGAAACCGTCGATCGGGGGCCTCGTCCAACGCATCTGGCAGTCGTCGCGCGACCACCGCAGGGCCTTGCTGTTGCGGCGATGGCGCATGGCCTCGTCGGGGCGCGCGCCCGCGGCATGGCGGTCTCCTTGGTGCCCGAGCCGTCGGGCCCCAGCCCCCTGCCCACCGCGAACCACTTCACGCTGCTGGCCTTCGGAAGCCGGGCGAAAAGTCGCAGGCCACGCGGTCGTTCCGCGAGCGATGCCGCCCCCTGATCCAGACCCCCGGCGCCCCCGAGCAGGTTCTTGCAGGCGTTGGCCCCGACGCGGGCCTCCGCGCGGCGCCCCGTGGCCGCGCGGTCCAGAATGGAGACCGAGCTCATGCCGAACTGCTTCCATTTCCACGTCCGCTTCTTTGGGGCCATCGCTGACTGGGCCTGGTCGGAGGCCCCGGCCGCGACCCCTCCTGGCGAAGATGCGCGCCGCGCGGTGCAACTTTTCACGGGGCGTCGGGAGAGTGCACAGTTGGCTGAGAAAGACACGTTTGAGCCGAGGGCGCCTGTGGATTCGCATAGAACACGGCGCCAATAGGCCCAACGGCTTGGACGCACCCCCGAACCTCGGGAGAGACTGTTCTGATTTTCCTCGCTCTATCTCTGCCAACTTTCTCCAGGAAAAGCGAACATCTTGATCGCGGCGCGTTGGCCTGCCCCTGCCTCGCGTTCTCTCGGCTGGCTGTTTCGAGCGCCTTCCATACAATGGCGCCGCCTGACAAATCAAAAACCACGCCGGGCTGTCTGAGCGCCCCCGCTGGGAGCAGTAAGGGCGCATCACAGGCAACCGAACGCGCCGTGAGAGCGCCACGGTTCTTTGCCACGGCAATAGGCAATGCCCAGCTGGAGATACTTGGTAGATCCTCCAACGCCCATGCCCATGCCCCGAGGAAGTATATGCGCATGGGCTTCAGACCGCGGGCGCCCCCAAGATATTCCACCATTTTCCCGAATTGGTCTTTGCCACATCTCCGCGCTGAGCCCCAGTATCCACCGAGGCAAAGCCTCTGAACCTGAAGTTACACGACAACCGGGCATCCAGCGTCGGCAAAGGCACAGGTAGGAAAGGTAAAGGAAATTACCCCTGGCTGAATCGTAGGTTCCCGTCGGCAAACGTGGCGCAGAGCATCGTCTGATTCGATTGGAACTGCTTGGGAGCCGCCGAAGCTTGCTTGTCGCTTGCGCCCTCGCTGCCTCGCTCGTCTGGCTCGTTCGTGCAGTCTCGAGCCCAGCGCCCTCCGCGTCGGGCGCACTTCGAGCGGTTCATCCACATACTTTCGGTCCACCGCTTCGGTCGGGCATGGCCCGCCCGTTGCCCTCGACGTGTTAAATTTCGGGAGCCTTCGGACTTTCCCTTTGGGGGTGCTGTCTGAAAAAAAGCCCCCATCCATGCGTCCGTTCGTGTAGGTGCTGTCGTACCTGACTGCAGTTATCGTAGATGGCAATAACCTCATCTTCTTCTAGAACCAAGTCGCCGGGCAAGTCTCCAGCTGCGAAGAGCACCTCGTCCTCGTTCATGTACTTGACGGCCTCATCCATGATCTCGATTTCATCATAGGCCTCGGGCCAGGTAACTAAAGACTGTTGCGTGATAATCCAATGGGGATCGTCGCGATCCGATTCCTGATCCTCGCATCCGTCAGCATCCCCTTGATATCTGGCAAAATGCGAGGAGGAACTCATGCCATGGATACGATGGCCGCGTTCGCCAGAAGTTCGCGGTCGCTCAAGCTTACGCCGCTTTTCGCACACCAAGTCAAAGTCGCATGATCCCTCTGTTCAGGGCTCAACGGTATCCCAAGCAGCGCCATTAAGCTTGGATTCTCTCAGAAGCATGTACCCGTTCAAGTCCTCTGGCAGCATCATGCGCTTCTCGAGTTCCCGGACGAGCACGCGCTTGCGCGCGACATAATTGACCAGGGATTCGCATCGCTTACACTTGGTCTTCTGAATAGAAAAACTTATCGAAAGTCTTCGGCATCCTGCGGTCGCGGTGCTCGGCGAAACCCTTCTGGATGTGTCTCACCACAACTTGCCCGCCTTCCTCGGTAGACAGCTGGTCTAGGGCACGTTCGTTAATGATGATCTAAAGGTCGTCTGTGGAATAACGATCGATGAGGCATCCGCGCTGTGCTTTTCAAAGTTCTGGTAACAACGAGCCACATCTGCGGTTCCTTCATGTAAGGGCCTAAACGAATATCCCGACCTTTTCCATCCCTCTAGGTCGTTTGGTATATTTGGGGCCTCCGATTGCTCAGGAAATTGTCCGCGTTAGTGATCAGAGGATCTGGCAGTGGTATCTCCCCGACAGGTCGGAGCAGACGGGGTAAAAAGCATAGCCTGTCCTCGCAGAAGCGTGTTCTGCCGATCTGGCACAGCCAGCGAACCACGTTCCCGCACTGTCCAACCTGATGTAGATTGTTGCGTGTTGGGCTGTGACAACCAGCGGGCCCAGTCCTGATCTGACCGGCCCACATTGTCATCACCTTCCCAAGGAACGTCTTCTCGTCCCCTCCAATTCCTGTCCAAGGGTCCTGATCTGGTTGTAACAAGGATCTGCTGGAACCGCATCCTCTTGAAAGTGAGCGTCGTCTGGAGAATCCATGGCGGCGCTCGGTGCAATGGGGTAGAAAGTGTGAAGATTGGGATAATAGTAACACAATAAAGAATACGTCGCCCGAGAATCGAATGACAGGGGAGTCGTCCTGACTCGTAGGCCTCAACCACAAGTTCCGCTGCCACTGTGGATTGTACGGGAGTCACTGTATGGATGCAAAGAGACACGGGGTACAAACAGGGGGGCCCGTGCTAGAAGACAGCACGTTCTCTTTCCTTTTTTACGGAGGCGTGGACGCGTCCGTCACCGGCGCGCCATGATAGCTCAAAAGCCTTTTGTGAGCCCAAATGGCGGCGCACAAAGGAGTACAGAGAGAGGCGCAGGTTGAGGAGAGGCTGACAGGGGACTGACAGCAACAGGGGGCGCAAATCATGGCCGGCGTCATGTGCGCGGCCCAGGGGCGGGTCCAGGGACGTACTGAAACAGGAAGAGGCGCTGTGACATCTGGGGAAACATCATGCCCCTCGCCATGATATATACCCCCCCTCTGGGAACATCACCCCCCTCTCGGCCGCCCCCGAGTGGGCCCCTGCGCCGACGCTGCCGAGCCCGTGCGTCTGCCACCCCACCCGCGGGCACCGCCGCGCCCCTTCGCGCGCCGCCCTGCCCTCCCCCCCCCGGTCACGGGCGGCCGCGCCCAGCGTCCGGCCCCACCTCGCCCTCCACCTGACCGCCTACCTCGGACCACCCCGGCCCAACCCCGACGACCCGACTCTCGGGCTGGGGCGGGTGGGTTCCACGAGTGTCTTTTCGATGTTCCCCGACCCCCCCTCCCAGTGGAAATCGAGGGCTAATCGGGGCCCTGGGGCGGGGTTGGGGTGGTCTGGTGGGCGGTGGCCACCTCCACGATGACCAGCGGCGAGCTCGGCTCCGAGGACGCGTTCGGCGCCGCGGCCTCCGACGCCTGGGGCGAGGCCAGGACAGGGACAAAGTCGCACAGGGAGAGGTCGGGGGTATCTCAGAGATCTGGCGGTCCTGGAGGCTGCGGCCTTCTCGGAGCGTTCTGGAACGCCGCTCTCGGAGGGTTCTGGAACGCTTTGGAGCAACTTGATCCCTGTCCGAGCCCCGCCCGAACGCCTCCTCGAACAGGCGTATGGCCGTCTCGGCGGCAGCAGTTCGGCCCAAGACCTTGGACAACGACAACTACGGTCGGGAAGTTCCGCTTAGCGTGTCGCTCCCCTCCGCTGGGTGGGCGGCGAAGACAGGCTCGGGACGTTCACGCCTGGAGACTGGGATGTGGAAAGCTTGTTGCGGCGAAGCGTGGCGGGGCGACACGCTAAGCGAAAGTTCCCGACCGTAGGTGCACCGACACCGAGTCTGGCCGGCACAACCCTTGGATCCTGAGCCCAGGATCGGTGCATTCACGCCTTCCATACGCGAGGGGGGCGTATACACAGATCTTTGCCGAAGTTGCGCATGTCGACTTCACGCAAGAGTGACCCCGGCCGGGTAAGAGTGACCTTTGGTGCGCGGCTTTTTGGAGGCCGCGGGGAGACCAAACACAAGCGCGCAAGACGCTACCGTCGCATCGAGTTCAGCGATCGGGGGGGCACATTGAGCCCGCACCCAAGGCCACTCCTGCGAACGGCCACTCGCACGTGTAGCCGAGCATGGCCAGAATCGGTTTTGGGTGCGTGGCTGTCGCTGGCCGAGGGGCCGAAGGCCTTCCTGATCACATCGTTCCACATGAGCCCGCCCTCGTTGAGGTGCGGCTGCCAGAAGAGCAGCAGCCCCTTCCTGCTCGTGATGAGCGCCCCGAACGGTTGGCGCACGAGGATCCCCACGCTCCTTCTGCGGCAACTCATGAAGGCCTCCGATGCCACCTTGCTGCCTCTTGAGAATCGACGCGAATCGACGCTAGACGACGCTGACCGACGCGAACCGGCGCTACATCGGCGCCATCTCATCGATCACCAGACGCTCATCGACGCTAGTGCGCTCGAAAGACGGAACTGCGAGGGCATGCAGGGCTCCCATGATTTGCTATCGAACGCTCCTCTGCGAGAAGAGGCGGTTCACCTCCATGGGCACCGTCCCGCGGACAGACTGCTCCTGGTCGATGCGCGCGCCTGGGGCGTCCGGGATCCTCAGCAGGTGGTGGGCCACCGCGCGCTTGCTCCTGGCAGGCAGCTGCCCCGTCAGCGTGCCCAGCGGCGCCGCCTTCGCGTCGAAGACCCTGCAGTCCGGGAAGCTGCCCTCGCCGAGCTGGCCACGGTCCTCGTGGGAGCCCGCCTGTGAGACGCACAAGGACATGGTAGCACCATGTGCCTATGTTGGAGACGCACGCCCGACGCGAACATATTGCACAAAATCTTGTATGTAGCTTCCCGAGCGTCATGGCCAGAAAGCGCAGTCGCCCTTTCGCGGCCGACGCTCCATATAGTATAAGCATGCTTGGGTAGTGCCGAGCCTGGGCACCGAGGTCGAGCCTCGAGTACCCCGAGGCGGCCACCCTGCTGCCCCCCTCGCTCCCAGCCGACAGGGCCAGGGACTCGCCCTCCAGGATCCAGTTCTGGACCACGGCGGGCACCACCCGCCGGCGCAGGTCCGAGCAGGCGGAGACGAGGGAAAGGGCGATCAGGAGGAGGCTCGTGAGGAAGAACACGACCACCGGCGCTGCGGTGAAGCACAGCACGGACATCGCCGCAGCGAAGGCGGCGAGCTCGACGGAGATGCCGCCGACGTACATGAAGCTGCCCGCGCAGGCCACGAGCATCCACGACGCCAGCGCGAAGTTGTCCACGAAGCTCGTGTGGGGGCCGGCGACGACCGTGCCGACGCCCAGGACGAGGAGGCCGAGGATGACGACCGCGTGCAGGATCGTCCACGCGGCCGGCGCGCTGGACGCCGAGGTGTAGGGCAGTGCGGCGAGGTAGAAGGCGAGCAGGATCTTGCCGACGACCTCTGCGGGCCATCGCCATGCGACCCTGTCCGTCCAGTCGAAGCACGCGCCCAGGCGGCCAGAGGTGTGTGGCCCCGAGAGCTGCGCCGCGCTGACCCTCAGCTCCACCCGGCCGATCTCGTCCTCGAGCTCTGCCAGCGCCCGCGCTGGCACCGCGCAGTCGATCCAGGGCAGGCCGGCCACCCCCACGATGCGCCCGTTGCGGCCGCCCCCGGTGTACACGAACTTCGTCGTGGCGCGGATCGGGTGGGCGTACATGACGGGGGTGAACTTCGGGCGCTTCTCTGGCTCGATCTCGGCCGCCCCCCCCTCGATGTGCTTTCGCGAAAGGTACCGCCCGTGCCAAACGCCGATGTCGGTCTCGGCACGAACGAGGCCAGCCTTCAGGCCCTCCCCTGACTTGAACTGCTGCTTCTCGCTGCTCTTCCGGGCGAGCTCCTGCATCTTGCCAGCGCGCTCGCGTTCGACGCGCTCCGCAGGCAGCTTCGAAAGGTCGTCGTCGATGGACTCCTGCTGGCTGGTGGAGCCTGCCTTGCCCCAGGGGCCCGCCTCCCACACCAGGCCCCACGAGCCGACTCTCCTGGCGCTGCCCCGCCCAGGAGCGCCGCGGTGCTCGACCTCGGAGATGGTGGCCGCAGTGGGGGAGAACGACCAGCCCGGCAGCGACGCGAGGAAGGCCAGGCTGGCCGGAGGAAGCGCAAGACCGGCAAAGACTGGCACTTTCGGAGGTCCGCGCGGACTTCTGGGGTCGGCGCCAGGCCAACCCCCCCCTGGCGGCGGCCCCAGCGCCGCCCCTGACGCGCCCCGCGTGCCAGGGAGGGGGGCCCAGCGCCGACCCGAGAAATCCGAGCGGGCCTCCGAAAGCTTCGGTTTCAGTAGTCTTCTCTTCTCCGGATGGCGGACGGCCTGCCGTAGGTGGCCACCCGGCAGATGTTCATGGGGATCGCCCGCAGCTGGTCGCAGGTCCTGTCCACGAACACAACGCTAGAGGATCCAGGCATGATCATGCCGATCACCTGCTCGGTGTGGAACAAGCCGCGGACCACGTAGACAACACAGGCTGGGATCGCCAGCAGGCCGAGCAGCAAGACGCTACCCAAGGCCGTCTCCAAGACGTTGGCGACGAAGAATCCGGGCGCGGAGGAGTAGTCTGGGATGCAGAAGACGAGCGCGAGCGTCGCCGCCTTGTAGGCCAGCGGCAACACAAGGACATTGAAGGCGCGGAGCTCCCAGGCGCCCATCCTCAGGCCGTGGGGCAGGCTCTCTGCGGAGCCGGATCCATTGCGGAAGATGTGCCTGCCCACGGCCAGGGCGTGGATCACGACCACCGCCAAGAAGGCGTAGGCCACTGTCGAGACCATCTCGACGGGGAGCAGCGGCTTCGCGAAGGCCTCCAGCCTCACAGGCGGCTCCGCGACCTGTCTGCCGATGATGGCGACCAGCTGCATCGAGGCGACGGCTGCGGAGAGAGTGGGCAGCCCGGCGAGCGTTGGCGCCGGCAGCCCGAGGGCTTGCATGACCATCGCCACAAAGTACATCACGACCGAGGCAAGCCCGAGCAGCGACAGGTTCTGCCCCAAGGTCTCCCACTGGTCGGGCGAAATGTTGGAGGCGTCCCACGGCATGCGCGTCGGACCCACTACCAGGCCAACCTGGTATTCGACATTGGACTCCCGTTCGCTGAACTCGGGGCCCTCGCCGACCGTGATCGTCCAGAACGAGTGCCCGCGCTTCGAGGGGGCGTGGGTGGCCCAGCCGACCCAGGGCACGGCGGAGCCGCCCTCCTGCAGCCGCCTCGTGCCGACCTCCAGCGGGACGCCATCGGCCGTCTCCTGCTGGATGTCCAGCGCCCTGCCGCCCTGCCCGGCCCTCGGCGAGCAGATGTCGCAGAGCACGAGCAGCCTCACCTCCGCGCCTGGATCCTTGGCCCTGCAAGCGAAGCGCCGCACGCCAGGACTCGAGGCGTCGGGCTCGCACCTGCCCTGTCGAGGGTCCACGAAGTTCAGCTCCAGGGCCCAATCCTCCACCCTGGAGGTGGCCATGACCACCGGAAGGTCCGACGTCTCGCCGCCCCCCTGATCGGTGCGGAGCCCCATCAGCCTGACGGGGTTGGGCGACACTGGCAGGCTGGCCACGCCGCTCTCCAGGGGCCAGATCGCGCTGGTCTCGATGTTCGGCCTCAGGCCCACGCTCAAGCCTTCCCCGAAGCCGAAGCCGCCGCGCTGTGAGGGCTTCAGCGGAGGATCCGCCTGCGCCTGAACCCGCACCTCGCCGCCTCTCTGCGAGGGGAAACACACGAGGTGGTCCTGATCCGCGGACCAGAAGTTCATCTCCTTCAGCCCAGTCTCAAATATGCCCCCCACTTTCTCGCAGTACCCGCCCTTCGACTCCAGGAAGACTCTGTAGTCGCTCTTCTTCAGGATGACCTCTGCGTCTTTGTCGACTGGCGCCATCTCCGGCGCCACGTCCTCGAAGGAGTCGGTTCCGTTGTCATCGCCGCGATCGTCCTCCCCGTCCGCGTCGTCCTCCACGTCTGCGCCTACCCTGGCGCTGCCAGCGCTGCCAGCGCCAGCGCCGTCCGCGCCAGCGTCGGCACCGTCCGCGTCGACGGGGGTCTCCTTGATCAGGGACACCCGGTCCTGGAGGCTCGGCAGCTGCTGCTCCTGCCTCGCCTGGGGGTCCTCTGACGCCACTAGCCTCTGGTCGTCCAGGAGCACCGCGTCGCCGAGGTCTGCGCGGTCTGCCAGCCTCCGCCTCGCCACCCGCTGGGTGTCCGCCTTCTTCTGCTTCCGCTCAGGAGGGCGGACGACCTTCAGAACATAGAAGTCCGAGTGCGGCTTGCTTGCGTCTGGGTCGGTCACCTGGACGATGACAGTCTGGTGGCTTTGGGGCTCCTCGCCAGCGCGGAAGAGCTGCTGCAGGGGCACGCGCCTGCGCAGAGGGCCACTCGCATTCTGGACCACCTCCCTGTCGACGCGAACGGTGCCGGCGCGCTTCAGAATCACCTCTACCTCGACTGCGGGGACGCCTCCCGGACAACCCTCCGGGCCACACCCGTCCGCGAGCCCGTCGTCGAGGTGCACCTCGTACCTCTTCACCGTTGGCCGAAAGGTCGGCCGCAGCGTGCCGCCCGCCACCGTCATGGCCTGCACGGCGCGCGGCGGCCTCGCGGGGGTCGTCGGGCCCTCGCCCATCGCGCGCTGCAGCGCAGACACCCCCTCCGCCACGTCGAGCGCGCCGGAGCCGACCAGCACCTCTCCGACCGCCTGGCAGGAGGGTCCAGAATCGAATCGACTGAGTCGGATCGGCGGTCGAAATGGATCGCATCGGCGGGAATCGGCGCCAAGTCGGGAGACGTCGAATCGGCGGGAAGCGGCGGGCTAGTAAGGCCTCCATTGAGAAAACGAACTCCACGTCAGAATCCGAAGTCGAATCGAGCCGAAATCGGAACCGATCGAAATCGAATCGAATCGAGTCGTAAGAGTCAAAATGAGCCCTTGCCTGGTGGAGCAGGTCGTCGTCATCCGTGTAGTTCGCCAGGGAGAGGGTCGTGTTCACCACGTGCGACACCGCGCTGCCCAGCGTGGCAGCGCAGGTCGCCGCGGGCCCTACCACCTTGTCATCGCCGGACGTCCATTCCGTGTGCACTTTTCGGCTTCGCGCGTGTACTTTGCCCCAAGAAGTTCCCAGATGCCTCTCCATGGTTCCCGCGGAAAAAAATGCACACGTCCGAACGATGCTCGGGGGCGGCCAAGAGGGAGGTGTCCAAGAGGGGCGGGGCGCAAGTCATGGCCGGCGGCATGTGCGCGGCCCAGGGGGGACCAGGGACGCATTCAAACAAAAAGAGGCGGCATGAACTCTGAGGAGATATCATGGCCCCCGCCGTGCTTTCCACCCCCCCCTAGTCATCACCCCCCTCTTGGCTGCCCCTGGCGAACGATGCCAGGCCACCGAGCCCACGGCCGGGACGACGGTCCAGTCGAGCACCACGCGCAGGACCGGGGTCACGCCGCCGAGCTCGAAGACCGCCATCGCGAAGGTCGTGAGCCCCAGGATCCACGCCATGTACACGAGCACTGCGCAGCAGAGCGCACAGCATGACACGGACCTCCTGCGCTGCTTCCTTGCGGGGCCCCAGGAGCATGGGCCACCACCACCACCGCCACCTCCACATTCCCCCTCCCTCTCCTCTCCACTTCTACCCTCCCCTCCTCCTTCCCGGGAAACGGAGGGGGTGAGGATGGTGGTGGTGCTGTATATTTTGTCACGGGGCCGAAGAATGACACAAACCTAAAAACTCGAAGCTCCGCGCGGATTTCTTGGATGCGCGCCAGGGAGGGGGCGTTGTGGCTCCGCATTCCTGTACTTCAGCGACTTCGCGCCGATGGGGGCGGGCATCGCGTCGCCGCAGCCAAAAGGCTCTGCCAGATGCAGCGGCTATCGCGGGCGGCGCCGCCTCGAGTCAAAGCGGCCACCGAGGAGAGAGTAGCGATCGGATCGCCTCGGCATGAGGAAGCGTCAAGCTCCGCAGCGCCGCCTGGGACCCACCTTTAGGGGGGGCCGCAAGGATGGAGCTTTAAGCAAACAAAGACAAATCAGGCTGTATGTACATCCAGCCCTGCCCGGCGGTGATAAAGAAGGACCTAGCAGGGAGGGTCGAGGGAGGAACGTGGGAGGATCATTGGCTTGGGGCCGAGAGCCCTATCTCTTTGGGCAAAAATGCTTCCATGGAGTGGCAAAGTTGGTGGTGACTTATGCTGGAGCAAGTCTGGCCGGCATTCCCGACTTTCTTCAAATATTGTAGCAGTGACAGTGAAGTGTGAAGATGCATTGCGTCTTCGGGCTCACTCGCAAGAAACGTCTGACCGTGATGACGACAATGAGGGTACGGATGTACCCGTGAGAAAACGATGGGGACGGTTGGGGGGCTGTGGTGGCGGTGGCGGCGAAGAAACATCAGCGTCACAGTAGCAACAGGATCAGCAGCAGCTGTCAGGGCAGGAACAGCAGCAGGAGCAACAATATGATTGGGAGCAGCACCAGCACTATCAACAGCAACAACACCCATAACAGCTGCTCACGCTGGAACGCAGCCGTAGAGCACGCAGCGAACGACGAAACAGGGGAGACTACGGGAAGGATCTGCAGCAGGATAACGAGTAAGATATGAACTCGGATTCGGATGATGAAGGAGACGAGGCGTGACTACGACAACGGGGACTAGAGAGAAAGAGCAGCCGCCGTCTGCCGCTGAAGCGTCCTGCCAATGGGGATGGCCATGCCTCTCCACGCGGAATGCTGCGTGCATCGCCCCCCGTTCCTCCTCCAAAAGCGCGCACTTGATCCGCACGCTCGAGGCCACGATCCCTCGTGCCAGAAACACCGGGCCCGCGCACCCGAGGCCACGATCCCTGGAAACAAACTATAGATCCGCGCTCCCATGGCCGCTATCTCCCGAAACGAATATGGAATCGGCGCTCCCGACGCCACGCTACAACGTGAGAAACGATGGATGAGCGATCCCGGGCTTCGACGATGGCCGAGGAAGGCCAACAAGGACGCCAGGACGGCCCAAAATGCATCACAGACGGCCCGAGGTGGCTCCCAAATAGCCCAAGATGGCCTCACAGTACCTGAAGAGACCCCCAAAGCGGTCCGAGAGGGCCACAGAAAATCTCCAGCAAGGACAAAGGGGACATCATCAGATATTCCACCAGAAAGGCTGTTTCTATAGATATATATATATATATATGAGTATGAATGTATCCGGGTCATCCGACTAGATTGCCGTCTTGCGTTCTGGGAACATTCCTTCTCAGCCTCGCTTGCCCGCTGTGGCCTGGCATGTTGTGCAACAATATGCAATGCTTCCAAGTGCCCTACGAGGTAGGCGCGCAGATGCCCTTTCAACTCCTTTATAGGCTTGGCCAGTCCAGCCTTCTCGTTCACTACCTGTGGCCTCCGAGTCGCAGCCGGGCCGACCTCAGTCTTTGCATCCTCTGTGGCTTTTCGTTTCGCGGGCGCCTTCCCCATCGTCACCGCCATGGGAACACTGACTCTTAACCTAAGGTTTAGAATAAACTTGGACCTTGATGGCTTCAGGCCCACACCACTTGAACCTGTCCCTTCCTCCTCCCCCCCCTTTTCTCCCACCGGGGGACGATGAGGGGGCTCGACAGCAGGTCCCGGTACTGCAGCAGCTCGTCCTGCGGCCGGCGGCGTGTGTGTGTGGGGGGGGGGCTGGCGGGCCCTCCGCGAGGGGGTCGTCGGCCCCTGGAAGGCGCCACCCCTCCCTCCCCCCTTGGCCGGGAAGGGAGACGGGGGAGTCGGGAGGCAGGAGGAAAGAAGACTCAAAGTTTGGAGGCAGCTGCTGGGAGGTCCGCGTCAGAACAACCCAGGGCTGCTCAGCCCCACCAAGAAGCCACTTAGCTGGATTAGGTAAGGTTAGACGCAGGAGTCAGCCCGACTAAACCCGATACAACCATATTCAGCGGGATAACAAATGGGTGGGATTCTGACAGATGAAGTCGGCGTTCGGCCACGTGTATGAATACGCCGATGCTGAGCTGAACATTCGATGAATTGCATCCTAAGGGTAGGGTGTCGAGAGAAGGGGGCAGGGAGGCAAGTAGCATATTGCTGTTTGGATTGAGCATCTGATTCAACCGCTGGCTGGGCAGGAAAAGTACGGCTCTCGGCAACTGGCTTTGGGAGACAGACTGTAGCAGGCAAAGCTGCGGCACTGGCGCCGAGGATGCTGGCAGTCGCTGCTGCCGTCTCAACATGACATGGAACAGACAGTGAAACGCATCAGGACAGCACAGCGAAACATGCAAACTGTTCGGGGCGTGGCGGGAGGCAGAGTGTCGCCGGGCAACGTCTCGTAAGGAGCTCTGGCCTGGGCTGCGGCCCGGAGCTTGGCCCCAGTGCCTCCCCTGCGCGACGGGAGGGAGGAGAGAACAGATAGCCTCTCTCATCGCACGACGGCTCGGCGCTGGGCGAGCTGTGTACGCAACCATCGGAAATCTGAAGCAGATGGTTTCCACAACACTGGGCGAGCTCGGTGGAGGCTAGAGGGACGGGGGGAGCAGAAAGGAAGGAGCACGAGCAGGGCTCCGCGGCGGCTCAGCGCTGGGCGAGTTTGGTGGAGCAGGGAATGAGGAGGGAGGGCGGTGAGGAAGGATTGCGAATGCGGTGCTGCTGCTCTGGTTGCACGGCGGCCCACAGATGGGCGTGTTCGGCGGCGGAGCGAGGGAGGAGGAAGGGGGGCGAGGAGGCAGGAGGGATAATGAGGGAGGCTTGGTCCACGACGGTTCAGCGCTGGGCGAGCTCGGGGCAGATGGAGGAGCAGGGGGGAGGACGGAGGAGTGAGAGAGCAAACAAGGTCTCGAGGAGGCATGAGTCAGATGAGGAGGGAGGGCGGACGGAGCAGGGACTAGAGGGGATGGAGGTGGGAGGACGGAGGAGGGGGGCGCGGATGGGGAGAAGGGCGCGAATGGGAGGAGGGTTTTCCCTACCCGCTGAATAGAGCACCCTCTCCCTCCTCCCCTCTCCTCCTGACTGCATCAGTGATGCTGGAGTATACCGTCCTGTCCCAGGCCTCCTCCTCATGAGGCCCTGCAGGTATTACTCGTGCTACGGAGGGTGCGCCCCTCTGACAGACAAGTGCCCCTATGGGCCTTCGACTCAGGCGAGGGCTCCGTCTTGAAAGGGAATCGCACTGCATCCTTGTAACCCTCAGGTGTTCCCCAGATGCGTGCCCATTGAAATTTCAAGCGATATTCCAAGTATGACAGGGAGCGGCCCGCCGTACGTGGAGGTGATGGACGACTGCGTAGGTATCGGGCCATACAGCGAAAACGAAGCCACTATTGGAAAATCTTCCTTCTCAAGTGCAGCTATTGCAAACTTTCAGCATCAACGTGCGCCGCGTCTGGGCGAGCGCCACATGTTCCACCCGCAGTCCGCGCACCTGTTGCAACTTATAAATAAATGTGCGCGATGCTGCCACGCAAGCCAGACCTGGTAAGCAAACCGCCCTCGGCTCGTGAGAACGGCTGCGCAAGTTGAACACGAATGCGCGCGCTACTGCTGCGACAGCTACACTCTGAACATGGTTCCCTCCATCCTTGCAGACATTGGATGGTCTGCGTAAGCGCACCAACCAATCGAGGTAGTGGCAGCGACTGAATGCGTATGTCATAAGATCTTGTTGGACAAAACGACGTTTTAGCAAGCGGAGAACGAGATTTGCTAAAGTATTCCAGCGAATGGGCACAAGACAGAACACACGATACCAAATACAAAAGCCTACCTCCCAAATAGGCGCATATTCTTCTAAACGGAAGTGCTTCCACGACCACGACCTAAGTGCTTCGATCATGAGCTGCGTGATGTAAGGCGTGCAAACTTATCAGGCGAAGCGCCTGGCCCGCCCTGTCGCAGCACGCCTAGTGTTGCGGCGAGAAGGAGCCTATTACAAAAAAGCCAGGTCGAAGGGGGAGGAGGGGCAGATGGACAAGGGGAATCGGAGGGAGCAGGAGGAGAGGTGGAGAATGAGGGGGGGGGGCACGAGGAGAGGTGGAGGATGAGGGGGGAGCGTGACCTGTTCACCGCGCCAGGGGATTGCCCTGCTGGTGGTGGTTTCGCTGCCCTGTGACGAAAAAATCACACTTGCAAAGCATGCCCCCTAAGCTTCCGGACGTCGGTGCGCATTGCTCGTGCCGACGCTGGACCTTTCCGCGCGCCCGCTCCAGGGCGCGTGCCAAGAGCGGCGCCAAGAGGGGCCGCCCCGCCCAGAGAGCCCAGGAGATGGCGCACGTGAGGCCGAGGCACGCGGCTGCCAAGCTCGCCCAGCAGCGCTCGATGCCCAGCTGCTCTTGGATCCGGCGCGCCAGCGAACAACAACGCGACCGAGGAGCAGCTGCCTGCCTGCCCGCCCGCCTGCCTCGTCCCGCCGCCCCTGCTTTCCCGCCTGCCCACTCGCCGTCGTCGGCCTGCTTCTCCTTCCCTCGCTTTCCCGCTCTCGAGACACGCGGGAGAGGCGGACAATCTCCGTCGGATCCGGAGTGCTGGCTTATCGTTCTCGCAGTGGGATCAGGCCTCCAATTGTCCCCACGGCTAGCTCGAATCGGACCGTCTCTCTCTCTCTCTCTATATATATATATGTATGTGTCTTATCTCTCCCTCTCTATCGCTCGATGTCTTTCCTTTATTTGTTCTGTCACGCACGAGCGTCGGACATCGAAACAACTCATGTCGCCAGGGCGGAGAGAGCCAGCCAGCGCGCGGCGAATTCTAGTTCCAGCTCGGGGATGTGTAGCTTTATTGATCGGCCATAACCGAGATAAGTCTTTAGAACCCCCTCATAAGGAGAGGAAGCTAATTATTTGTTCGGCGGCCTTATTGAAGGACTGGGGTCCCACCACTAGGGGGGAACGAATTCTATTTTTCCGCGGCTCC